CTTTAACCCCTGGTCTAATTGGCCGCTTTTGAAAATGTTGATCATGACGAACCGCACTTTTGTGTTTTAAAAACGAGTTAGGATAAAATGCGGATACGGACGGACGGATGAATGACGGACGGATGGACGGATGGCGACGGACGGATGGCGACGGACGGACCGGACGGATAACATATATATGTCATTATATAGTCTGCGCGCAGCCGCGCAGGGTAGTTAGTGGCTTACATCTTCGCTGGTTGTTACACTTTAAAATAATTTTGTATTTACCGAGAAATCAATATTCCGAGTATATACAGTAAATATATAAACTGGGATGTCACACTGATAGTTTGTTTACATTTGCTGGAGCATCAAATCTTATGTTTAACCACGGTGGTTTAACCCATTAGCTGGCAATGCGCCAGTCTCTTGTCCAGCGCCAGAAAATTTTACTCGTCAGGGATACAGGGTACTGCCAGTAAATGGGTTAACAAACCTATCTGCCAATGTCTCTTGTTAATCCATCAGCACAGTAATTACTTTAGTATTTACCCTGTCCAACGCCAGACGATTTTTAATACCCAGTCAGTGGTAGGGCCGTGCTGTCAACAAATGGGTTAACAAGGATAACAATAGCCTGCTTAGCGGCTATCAGAGAAAGGACAAAAATAGGATGTTTCTGAAGAACTCGTTCAACACCCTGTAGTTTGTCTTTTGCTGTCAAAGGCAGCATTACTGCCCTGTGGGTAACCTAGTTGTTATTCAATTATTCAGTTCACTTTAGGAGTCTCAAGGATGATTTCGTGAAAATCAGAACATTAGCGCGGACCCTGCATGAACAGGCTCTCAGAAACATTACATTAAGGAATAGTGGATCTTCAGACGGAATAGTAAATATAAAAATCTACTATTCCGGCTGTATAGTACAAAAACATTTAAATTTCGACCCCTGCTATATATATTAATGTTGTTACCGTGGTTTACCTTTAATTTGCGGCTATAGTTATGAGTCAATTTCCTGAGGCAGAGGAATTTGAAGCCATTGTGGCTACACAAGATTCGATCGCTGCCGATGAAGAGTTAGCGGAACGGTAACGTTTTTTTTGGCCGGGGGGGGGGTTAATTTCCATAAATTTTCCGGACGTTCGTGAAATTGTCCAACGTATACTTAGATTGCTCACTGTTGCTATATATAAAACTATTTTTTAGCCTATTGGCCTTACATATGGGCACAACTTCGTCTATTCCTTAGATTGATGTTACACGTGTTCGGTTTGGGTAATAACGTTATGGCTTACATTGGAACTAATCACATTGAATAATTGTTTTGTTAGAGCATCTCTGCGATTGTAGAGTATAGGAAGGTTACTGGCTGTCAAGGCTTCTGGATAAAGGTTAAAGATGAGTAGATGATCCTAAGAGCCTTCTTCTGCAGTCTTTCTAAATCATCGGCCAGATATTGTGGAAGTCCATTGTGAGCAAGCATATTCGGTAATGGGACGTATAAAATGCACGTGACGTAAATTGTCAAGAGTTCCTTTGTTGGAACATTTGCTCTCTTAAGTTGTCTTAAGAAGTACAATCGAGTGGATACTTCGCGTATAATTTCGGAGACTATGGCGGTTCCATTTCAGGTCATCTGAGATGTTCAGGCCAAAGCAGTTTTATGTGAGGAACTATTTCAATAGGCTTTTCATTAATAACAGCAGGGGCAAAATCGGGAGTCGACTTAGCAAAGGCTATTCGTAGTTCTTTACATTTTAATTTATTTAATTTAAACTTATTCTGTTGCGATTTTTCTGCCAGTTCGGACACCGCCAATTGAATATTACTTGTTTTATTCCTTTCTACAATTTCGGTCATAGTCGTGTCATCCACGTATTTCCATAAATCTGTGTTCGTAACTTCTATGTCATCAATCATTAACACAAAAAGCCATGGACCAAGTTTGGTTCCTTGCGGGACTCCTTCGGGTGCGTTTTTCCATTTCGATGACGATGTGCAATCACGGTCCAATTTTGGAATGGGTACGATGTCTGCTTCTTTTCAAGATGGTGGGGGGTGTTGGGTGTTGGTCAAAGTTGGTCAAAATGGAACTGATATTTGCCAAAAATTGGTAAAAATAGAACTGACATTTGCTTAAAATTGAAGGTAAACTCGGAAAAATTTGGTCAAAGTTTGGGATAAAAGATGGTCGAAGTTGCTCAAAGTTATGAAATGGTTCGTAACCGTGTAACAATTTTAAAGCTTTTGTTATGTTTGCGGTTAAAAAATTACAAGCGTTGCTTATATTGTCCGAAATTTTTTGAATATGCTTACGTTAGTCCGGAAAATTTTTTTTGACTATGCTTATGTCACTCCGGAAAATTTTTTTACCTTCCCCCGTCGACAACATTTTCGGGAAAAATGAGATCGTCTACTTCTTCAAATTGAAAATCGGATGGTATATATTAGTAGAAATTCGCTCATTGGTAATCACTGTAATAAGAAGGCATCATTGATTTTATTGGCCATGTCGTGTTTAGGCCAAATAAAAAAAAATACTTGGTTAGCGTCACCGCCCGCCTCTCGATTTTCTGCCGCCTCTGAATTTTTTTTAATTTTTTTTATGTAAATCTCTTCGTTTTACAGCTTAAAACAGTTTAATATTTGAAATTTTTCTCATGCTCAGACCTTCGCGCTATATACTGATCGATAGGAGCGGCGTAGGCTTGGGTATACAAAGTTCTTAAAGCAAAATGGCGGCCTTCGCAACATCAGTACAAAAAATATCACCGATATGGTGGAAAAACCGCCCCTCATCCCCTCCAAAAATACTATTAAAAAATTAAAAAAACGAGTAAAAATTTAAAAAAAAATCCGCCCGCCCGCCTCTGAAAATTTGTGAGAGTGTGACGCTAACCAAGTATTTTTTTTATTTGGCCTTATTCATAGAAACACCGACAATTTCTTGAAGGGATTTGGTGAAATCATCCGAATTTCGAGTGGGAGATGATAATCCACTTACTAGATTTCTTTACTTCCTTCCACCACATAGATCTCGACATAGATGGTTTGCATTCTTTCAAATGGGCTACTTTGTCTCATAATACTTCCCTCGACAGGTCTTCCGTTCGCGAATAACACGATTCCTTAATTGTCGAAATAGGGAGAAATTGTCTTCTGCTATAGGTTTTTTGGCGTTAATTAATTTTTTGGATGAGAATTGATCCAGGGTGGTTCATTAGCATGGATGGTTTTAGATTTTATTTTTATCAGGAGTACAATGTCCAAGCCCGTATTTATAACTGCTTCCAACATCTATAAGTTCTGGGAACATCATGCGGCATCGGTAATAAGCCGGGATGCTATGCCGACATTTTCTAGATATAAGCCAACCCATTGCATAACGGTTATATACTTGACCGTATAAGTCCCGCATTTTATTCTGTGATTTGATTTCGGAAGCAGAGTGCGCGGTGATTTTGGCTTAACTTTGACAGAAAGGTGATCAGATGGCCATTTAAGGCTTGTCTTTTTTCGGGAATATCATAAATTCATAATAGCTAGTTTTGAAGATTCGTAAGAATTAAGTCCAACGGCAACGCACTCTGACCTCGGGTAGGAAAGTCAACAATCTGTTTGAGCCTGAAGCTGGATATAATTTATTTTTGCCACGTTCAGTTTCAGTATTAAAGTCGCCGAGGAGAATGATGACACATTTCGGGTATTCGGATTCAACTAATGAGAGAGAGTTCAGTAATTAAATAGTTCAGAAATAATAAACTGCATGTTTGAACTTGGGGGATGATAAATTGTGAGACGGCTTGGACGGACGTCGTCTAACACGGTAAATTTAATGGTATTTTTGATGTACATACATACACCGCCATGTACACCGCCCTTCCTGTCCAAACGAATTAGATTAAAACCAATGATAGCAATTATATTATTATGAATATGACTTTGGAGCCATGTTTCAGTTAAACAAACAAGATCTTATTTTGTTCTGAAACCAAGTGCATGGTCACCACCTAAACATGCCATGCAGGTCTTCAAAAAAAATACCCATGTGTTTGTTCCGTACGTCCGAATTATGTAAGACTGGTTTATTTTGGAAATAATGAAACAATACGGAACGGCCCTGGTTTACTGCGACATTTTCATATCTTTGCAATGCAATGCAAAGGATAAAGTGGAATCGTTCCAAAACGCACTAGATTGAAGAATGAAGAAAATAACCGCATATGAATTATATATTTTACCGCGGTCATCTCAAAAAAAAATTTCCGGATATACCACATTTTTTCCTAAATACGAAATAATTTTTCCGGACATACCAAAAAATTTTCCGGATATATATTTTTCTAGGAAATGAAAAAATTTTTCCGGAAATAACATAGATTCAAGTTTTCAAAAGTGACCTTTGGTCAAAAGATGCAATCTTAATGAAAATTTTTCACGCAAATAAAGGGCACTTTGCTCCCGGAAAAAGGACACTTGGCGGCAAAACTTGGGGGCCTGCCCCCCCCCCCCCCCCCCCCCCCCCCCCCCG